TTTACCACTTTTTGGCCTACGTGGCTGAGTCCGTGATTTCACCTATTTTAGGCGCGTGGGTGCAATTTTTAGACAACACTGACCAATAAAAATTGGCCATGTGTTAAAATAAACTTTATTGTTGTTTATTGTTCTTCATCTTTAACTAAGTTTTCTTCTTCTTTATTGTTCTTCATCTTTAGAAAAAAAAACCTCCATTATCATTATCATTCAAGTTAAATTTCTTCTTGCTTCGAAAAGGTAAAGTAAAATTTTAATATATTCTTTATATTTACACCTTTTTATTTCGATTGTTAGTTCTGATTTTAAATTTCTTTCACAATTTTTATGTATAAATATTAGGGTTATGACAAAATTCGAGTTGAATAAGTTGTGTATGGAGCTAGGTGAAGGATGTCCCTTGCTGAGGGATATTGTGTTGTCTCACTATCGTCAAATAACAGATGTAGGGTTAAGTTATATTGCTAATAGGTGTACCTTGTTGGAAACTAGCCACATGGTCTATTGCCCTGGTATCACCGCTGCTGGAGTAGCCACGGTGATTACGAGCTGCACAAATATAAAGAAAGTTCTTGTAGAGAAGTGGAAAGTGAGTCCAAGAACCAAAAGGAGAGCAGGATCCATCATCTCCTATCTCTGTGTTGATCTGTAGATCTCTGTACACGTGTTAGTGTAATCTATTCCTTGCAGCCTCCAATCGAAAGCAGCAAGGGTAAAACAGACTATCGTTGTGGATAGCCAGTTTAAGTTGCAAATTACCCCGACTTAAAGTGATAGTTTTACTTTTGGGAAAGTTGAAAAAGTGATAGCTTTTTTGAATTTTTGGGAAGTGTAAAAGTTATTTTGAACTGATAGCTTATACTTTTTAGAAAGTTGAAAAAGTGGGCCCAGCGCGTGTTGAACAACTCTTTCAGCCTATCTGATTTATATTGCCACGTAGGCCAAAAGGTGGTAAAAAATTAATAAAAAAATAAGTTCGGGGGGTAATAGGTCCTTAGTAAAGGTTAGGTGTGTCTCTGGGATTTCGGGCATAGGCTGGGGGGTACTTATGCATTTTCCCTTATATAAGGGAAAAGAGTCTGAAATATATTCGAATTTTGATCGAAATTGCAGTAACGATACCAAACTTTGGAAAGGACCTTTTACCCCCCTATATTATTCAATAGTGTATTTTAAAGGTATATATATATATATGACATCATAAATATTGAATAATTATAAATAATAATGTATCCATGTTTTTCTAGTACAACAGCAACATACAACAACAATAAACCCAATGTAATCCCAACATGTGGAATCTCGGGAGGATAGAGTGTACACATACCATGCCCTATCTTTAGAACACAAGTACCAACAGCACACTTTGACTGAACACCAGTAGCAAACAGTTTTACATGTATCAATCCAACTAAATTAACAGAAAAGTACCATTGGAATTATATTATTACTTGGGACAGCCCAAAGCCTGAGATAAGAAGTTACATTTTCGGAACCTTACCGGCAGACCTCTTGCTCCAAAGCACCTGAGTATCGATGGCTGTAAGATGTTCATCATCAAGTCGCTTCCATGTTTTAATAGATTTGACATCTCCCCACCCTCCTTTCCCTGTTTTCTCCAAAGATGCTACTACCATCCTTGCCCTCCTTGACCATCCAGTCTTCCCATAAGCGTGATATCCAAATCCTCCAGCATAGCAAAGATTTATGTCCATCAACTTGCCACAAAAATCATTTACGTGATCATGGCCAGCGAATGCTGCCTTTACATCACCAGCTTCCACCATAGTGGTGAAGAAACCTGAATTTATTGAAGCAGAGCTTATGCCGCCTTCTTGTCTAACCCCTGTGAAGTTTGATGAGTCAAAACTCGCATATTCACGAAGTGGAATATGAAAGTAAGCAAGGCCTGGAGCAGGAGCCTTCATAGCATTTGAAGTGTGCATGTAAGTTTTCTGCATTTGACAGGTTAATTAAGTTAGTGTCAATGCTCACAAGTTAAGAGATACAGTGACTAATATATATTTTTTGAACAAGAAGAGACAATTGATTAATATAACAGCACCAAAACAGTAATTGTGGTACCTTAAGCTTCCTAGAGGTACGTTGAAACCAGAACTGTTGAGAGGGTTTAATCCAACCATAACCAGGGATGGATGGAACAGTAGAGTAATCTCCACTGTCAAGGAAATACAGATTGAGAACGGACTTATTAGTCAGCTCGGAACCCTCAATCCCATGGACTTCCAGATTATAATTCCCAAAACCATCAATATCAGGAACGTCAGGAGGATTCAACTGAGATAAAGTACTTTTCATGCCAACAATATGTTTCATCACGCCTTCCCTTGAGAGTGTAGATTCCTGGTCATGATTTCCTAGTACTGCAGCCCATGGTATATTTGAAGATATTGCAGGAGCAAAAGCAGCCTCCATGGATTTTACAGGATCCGTAGCATCAGATCCAAATATGTTGTCCCCTGCAATGGTTAAATTGGTTTAATAAAAGGAAAGGTTTTGACACAGCCAGCTTTAATAAAAAGAAAGGTTTTGACACAGCCAGTAAAGGGCAAAGCTTAGGGACGAAATTTTGATGTAACATTATTGAGTTGCTATCAAGAGGATACTTTAAGTCGTTAGATTTCAGAAAGAATTCAAACTACTGTTTAGTTGCTCAATAAGTGAACTCAAACTTGCACTAAATCAAAAGGTCAGGAACAAGTAGTAGTATTGGTTTTGAGTTCAATTTGATTCTACGGAACAGCTCAAAATGCACTTTAATCCCTTCCTCAGTTACTCAAAACAAATAATTAATCAATTTAATGCATCTAGTTCAGAAATTTTACAAACTTTTTGACAATAACCAAACTCAAACAACATCAAAATTCGAGATAAGTGTAAATATTCACACTCACTCCTCTTCATTAGCAAAGACAATAACACGTAATGACAATATTCACTCTAGCCTGTTTGGCCAAGCTTCTAAGAAGCCAAAAGTGAATTTTCTTTTACAAACACATGTTTCAGAAAATCAAGGCATTTGGCAAAGCTTTTAGAAAAACAACAAGCGTCTTTAAGAAGCTCAAAAAATCAGCACCTCTCGAGAAGCATTACTTATTTTGGATGGAGTACTTTTTTTTTTAATGACTGTGGAGTCCATGCCAGCTTACGCACACCTAGACTAATTCACCTCCCACCAGCATTAGGTGCAACATGTACCTCATGACTCTCAACCACTTCATTGACCACTAGACTACATCAGTCTGAGTACTTTTTCGAAAATTACTTTTAACAAATGATCTATGCAGTACAAATCAGGTCTATCATGAAAAAAAAAAAAAACTCGTAATCCATATTCAAGTCCATCAACAGCCAAACACAACGCCAAATATGAACATCAACAACAAAAATCGAAGAGACAGAGCGAAAGAGAGAGAGAGAGTGTGTACCGGTGAACACAATGAGATGAGGTTTCTCAGCGTGAATCATCCTGAAAATGAAATCAGTAGTATTGAGATCGGAACACGAAGACATTTGCTGCGGCAACACATTTTTACACGGCGTCGTTTTTCCATCTCCGTAGTGCATATCCGCCACCTGCAAAATCCTAAATTCACCATTTTTTCCGTCGAATCTCAACTTCGTAAACGGATTAATAACTTCACCAGATGCTTTACACATTTGAAATGAGCTGAGAAATATGAATATTAGGAATAATTTTGTCGAACTCGAAATCTCCATTGCTGTAGCAATCCTCACACTTGTAAGCTTTTTGAGAAGGAAAAGAGAGTAGGAGGAATACTAACGAGGAAGTAGTTCTTATGATGGCCCTATAATTAATAAGGATATCACTTTTCCGAGTTAATTTAATTATCTAATAGACGAATAATAATATAATCAAAAAAATTAAATTGAAAGTATTTAGTTTAATTACTTACTCTCCATGTTCAGTTAGTTTGACTTGATATGAAATTTAAGAAAGAAAGGAAGATATTTTTATATCTGTGTTTAAAATGAGTGAAAGATATTTGTGTGATTGTAAATCATTTCACTAAGAGTAAAATGTGTATTTCTAAATTAAATTATTACTTAATATAAAAATATGTCATTTTTTTTAATCGACTAAAAAGGAAATAATCATATAAATTGAGACAAAAATGGTAAAAGTTAAGTAGAATGTTTTTGTAATTTTGTTACTACTTTTCTAGACTACTTTTCATGTGAGCACAATGACTGAGTCATAATTTATTTTTTAAATAATCACAAGGTGAGGATTGTTTATTTTTTTGTCGGATTCCAAGGAATTGTCCGCATTCTCAATCTTGACCGTTTACTCGTGTGAATTACGGGTCAACTCGAACAAGTGTCTAATTTAATAATTTTAATTAAAGTTAAATTGTTTAATTGAAATAAAATTTAGTTCAAAAGTAGAATATTTTAACAAATTTAAGAAATTGATTATATATTTTGTTCTTGTAGTTCAAATTAGTTCTTATTCGAACTACTTTTAGTAGAGTTAAGTATAGTAGATAAGTCGAAATTTTTATTAAGAGATTAAAAATATAAAAATTAAGCATGTATATGACAAAATTAAGTAATCACGAGATGGTTTGTTTAATTTTTTTTTGGGATTTATCGTGAGGCAATACTCACGGCGGCTGTTGGATTCGGTGGAATTTTCCTTATTCTCAAGTTCTCAGTCAATTTATTCGTGCTAAACTAGAAAATTATTCCATTTTATATATTTTTTTATTTTTATCCATATTTGATATTTGTATAGAAGTTTAATTATTTTAAATTCGCACCACGTCGAGCTTAGGAAAATGTTTTCTATCAAAGATTTTTTCATACCCAAAACTTAAACTTGAAACATTTGAGTAAGAAAAGAACAGTCTCATTCACTGCATCACCGTATTTTATTTTATATTCAAGTGTGTCTGAAATAAGTTTTAGGAGTTTTTTTTTTTGGTTTTCTAAAAATCTTTTGTGTGACGTGAAAAATGACTATAGTAGAAGTTATTTTCTTTTACAACAAAATAACATTCTAATTATTTAAAATTTATTAAATATAAATTTATAAAATGATCATATTATATTAATTTCATGAATATATTATTCCAAATAAATATTATGGATTAATATAATTGAGTTAATTATTTAAATCTAATAAATATGGATTTAATTAAAGCTCACTCCATAAAGTGTATATGTCATGGCCGAAGAGATTTAAGAATTCAAGCATTAAAGTTCAAGAACGATCAAGATCAAGACCATCAGATTCAAGAACAAGCTCGAAGCCCTTGAATTCAAGTAGAAGTCAAGATCAAGATAAAGTTCAAGTTCATCGAAGGTTCAAGAACAAGCCTTAAAGCCCTCAAGTTCAAGACAAATTCAAGATTAAGCTTAAGAGGCCTTGAATTTATATTTGAAAAGGCGAATTCAGAGGAATCATAGAGATTGTAACACTCGCACTTTGAAATAATAAATACGATTGTTGCATAATTTTCCGTTCTTGATTATTATTTTCTCGACGCGAATTTTATTGTCTACAAACATATTTTTGATGTAATTTTACAAATGAAAATTGGGAGAAGATAAGGTGTATGTGAGTGATTTTCTTCACTTTTATATATATATATATATATATATATATATATATATATATATATATATATATATATATATATATATATATATATATATATATATATATATATATATATATATATATATATATATATATATATATATATATATATATATATATATATAATGTTTGTTTAAAGCGAGAGAAAATTGTATATGCACATGCAAATACATATATCTTCGTCATATACACTTACAATTATACAATACAAATATTCTCCTGCCCAGATCTGTTTTGTCTTTCTCTCTTTCTCGCTTTATACAAACATAGATTATA